TTTACAAGGTGTAAGTTTATTTGGAATTTTAAATGGATGCGCTGTTTTTCTAAAAGAATCTTATAGTCGAATGGATGTATGGCGTTTAAAAAGTACAAGACAAAGGATATGTACAATAGGAGAAACAAGATGGTGGTCTAAAGATTCGGCATTAACCAAAGTTTTTGGTTACTTTAATAACCCCGATAACTGTTTGTTTGTTGAATTAATAATTTCATTAGAAGAAATTTGTGAAAAGACGAATATTAACCCAGAAGCACGACTAAAGGCTAGTAGTTTTATGGAAGGACTGTGTAAATATGAAACAGTTTTAACAGCACAAATATATTTAAGAATTTTTAATAAAACCACGCCCTTATCCAAATACCTTCAAGGTTATGGTGTCAATTTAGTTTCTGCCCACCAAATAGTAACTCAAACTCTTAATGATTTGAAAGAATTGATCGTGATTTTCCTAGCATCAAGCAAGCTGCTGATAATTTTTTGACATTGGCAAACAGTAAATTAGAAACAATAGAAAACACCTCTATCCAAATCCATGACAGTATAAGATCATTTCGACCAAGAAAAAAATCGAAGCAATTTGCATATGAATCAACTGATAACCCAATCGAAGATCCATTGCATTCGTATAAAGTAAATGTGCATAATTTAATATTTGACTCAGTTATCCAAAGTATTGTAGTACGTTTCGAAAAGCACAAACTTGCTGACTTCAATTATTTGGATCCAAATAATTTTTGTATTGATGAACCTTTACCAGAAGATTCACTAAAAAGTATTTTACTTCTTCAACAGTATACACAAAATTACAAAATTAGATTAGCGTACTGCGAGCGAAGCGAGTAAAACATTTTTGTGTCCCTACCATTCGGGGCCCCCCTTGAATTAATTTCCCGGTAACATAAAAGAGTCCTATCCGCCCCTGATCTTTCGTTATACTTTTTAGACTACTTATGTCATACAAAAATTTAAATTTATCACAGTGGTTATATAATTGTTCAAATCTTTCTTCGAGAGAATTGAGAGCTACGTCTAATATATAAAAGTATAATTCAACTTTAAATTTAGTTTTTAAATTAATTATGGGTTCATCTGGTTGTTCATAAGAAAAGAACACGGTTTTCTTTTTTCGTGGGCGTATAGAAGTTTGTTGCGTAAAAGAAGCCTCAATATCTAATTTAAGAGCTATGGTTTCAATATCTTTTAAAAATTTATCAAAACTCTCATCACATCGAATTTTTTTAAAAAAATTAATAGTTTCAGATAAAATATTTTCTGCGCCAGATATATCTAATGTTACTTTCTGTAACACTTTACTAGCTAGATTTATTTGATTTAAAATTGAGTGCCAAATTACAACGCAACACACAAAGTTAAATTATTTTATTTTTTTAGCTAAAGATTCAGCTTCTAATCGGGTTATTTGATCAAAAGATATATCCTGATTTATTTCGTATAATGAATCAAATATTTCACCTGTTTGATATCTGAATGGTTTAATTGCATCTATTCTACTCTCTCATCTAGTTTCACTTAATGGCTTCAAAGTTAATTGTGTTATATGTTTTTTTAAAACAGCCCATCGACGAGTAGAACCACTTAAAAATACGAATATAGCTTGAATTTGAATAAAAAATTTGCTTGCTCCAGTTGATGATTTAGCAGTATCATTTACAACTAAATTTATAGTATAAGCATGACATGGTACAAAAAAAGCACGACTGTTTATATCTAAAATTTTTTTTTGTACACAAGAATTACGACCTTTCGTGTTTGAGCCATTTATCATAACCTTGCCCTCGCATATCCTGTATTGGAATTTTATTTATTTTTAATTCTGACAGTATTGCATTTGTAAGTTCCTGACCTGTGGTAATATCAACCGGAATAAATCCAAGAAAATGTTCACAAATATTTACTTTTTTTGTATCTCGGTTAATATCAACAAACCGTATAGTTATTGAAATTTGTTCTACTCTACTTTTATCAGGAGTACAATCTACAATTATTGAATAATACTTAGCATTTTTTAACTCTTCAAGTATTTTATTTTTAATTGCTCGAGAAAGTAAATGTATAATTTCATTTTAAATCCCATTACCTAGATAATGATTATGAATCTCCTTATTTTGAATTCTGCGAACATGTTCTGATAAAACACTATCAAATTTTGCCAACAGCTGTACTAGTCCGAGAAAATTGCCATTATTGTTTTCGTAAAGAACATCGTTTGTACCTCGAAGAGGTAAACATTGTTTACCAAGAAATTCAATGATTGCCATTAAACGCTCAAGTACATTTTGCCAATGCCGAGTTTCATTATTTAATACACGTTGATGGGCAGCATCTATGGTTTGATTGCTATTTAATCTAGCAGACAGTTCCATCCATTTTTTTAAAGAATTAAAATGTATTTTGCTTGTTTCATGTTCTTTAACTATATGTGTACGTTTTTCCAATCATTACAGCCAAATTTAGCCAGTGCATAATTTTCACTACTAAATATTTTACATCAAAAACAATACACAACATCATTTTTAACAGAATAAATTAACCACGTACGTTCTATAACTTCACCATTTTTTAATGCTTTACTTAAAATTGAAATTGGAAACCGTCGATTTAACGCATCTCTAGGATATTTGAAATCTTTATTTGGTTTAGTGAGACCTGTTTTTACTAATTGAAGTCGTAATGAATCTGAAAAAATCAGGGCCATGTCCCGGGGTCAGATATGTTATTTTCATTTTCATTATATTTAATATTTGTATTTTCTTCCAAAATTGTGTTTATTTCATTATTGAAAATGTCAATGCTATCGGAAATTTGTTCTGAGTTATCAACTTCTTTTAAACTGTCAGTAACTTCTAAGGTATTTGATTCTTCTAAAATAATTTTAGAATGTGTTTCTGGATAATTAAAAACTTCATTATTTTTTTTTCAAATATTTTTAAAGGAACCAGAGTTTTTTTTAATTTCTTCATCACGTTTTAATTTTTGCTTTCGATATGCAGCTCCTGATAACCGTATACGTTTTTGGTCTGACATATTCAATAAATATTAACGTGATAATTCAACAAAATTGCAACCAATTAAGTGTTGCAGTTAAAAATGTATTTTAATAAAAATTGTACACGTTCATACATTTGGTACACTAT